TAACGCAATGCAAACATAAGGTAAGCCATTTTATTCAAATTATTTTCTACACGTAGCATTTAGAGTAATTTTCGAAGCATTCTTATACATTGTCTTATAAACGGCTAAAATTGTAACGCAATCGTCAACAGCATATTGTCACCTATTAATCATATTCAACGTCTGGGCCGCCTATGATCAGAACTGTCGTCAATTGTTTCACTTTTTCGAATTTTGTTTATTAGTTTCCAGAAATCTCCGCTTTGGTTGGAATTCAAGGTGTTTATTTCATTTAAAAGTTGATTTTTATATCTTTTATATATTTTTTATCAGCTTTTTGTATTTCTTTTTAAGATCAAAATATTGTGGCAATGATCGAGGAGTTTTGGGATTAATTTTGTTCGCAAGTTTCTACAGCTTTTTCTTTAACTGTCTGCAAGTATTATCGTGCCATAATTTGTATGTTTTTTGGTCTTTTTACGCGTTTTACTACGTGATGGTACTAGGCTAAGTTCTGCAACTGATTGTAGTATTTGTTTGAACTGTGAAATCTCCTCATCTATTGAGCTATTGTGTTCTGCACTAAAAGATTTAAGCCTGTTTTGAATATCAAAATTCGACAATGTACTTATGAATTTATCTTTGGATTCTGGCTTCCAAAGAAATTTGGTGAAGCAGTTTCGCGAGGATTCCTCTGTTCTTGGAGGTTGTTTTGGTTTGTTTTGCTGTACATGATGCCACGATTACGGCAAGTCAATGTGAGAGTGATAGGGCAGTGATCAGAATATGGTGTCAAAGCTTGTACTTGAAATTCTAACACTGTTTTTTTGAAGATCTTCGCTGACTATTCCGTAATCAACGGTGCTTGCCCCGTTGTATTGATACGATGTTAACATTCCGTCTTGATCACCTACAACTTTATGCTAATGCACGTTGTTCAATATTTTTGGTGTTGTGTGTTTTCCTTGATAGGACCCAACTGATGATGATTTTGAGCCTACCATCAAGAAACTAAGTGATGCTAGTGGACAGCTGGAAATGACTGACGTGAACGGGTTCTCCAAGGGTGTGCTGAACAGCAACGATGGTGAGAAAAATTGTGATCGGTTGAATATTTCAAGATTTTTGTCAACTTGCGGTTGTCGTTTCTTAAGCAGTGACAATACAAATTCCAAAAAGTTTGTGCCAGTTTTAGCTTGTGTAACCATACAAATGTAGTTACCTTTGTGATTCGATTTAGCTCCCGGGATAGCCTACGTGTAGCCGTACCCACCCCCCGAGGAAAAACGGGAGGGAGGGAACGTCTACGAAGAGTTGACACGAATCGTGTTATGTGACGTCACGCTTTTGCATGGAAATATATAATGGTTCCTTATTGGATAAAGACCNGTGACGTCACATAACACGATTCGTGTCAGCTCTTCGTAGACGTTCCCTCCCTCCCGTTTTTCCTCGGGGGGTGGGTACGGCTACACGTAGGCTACTCCCGGGAGTGATAATTTACTTTGGGTAGCTCAAGGGAGGGTGCTTATTGCAGATGGGCGCTCAGCTCTTTCAGAAGATATACTGAATGTTGCGCAACAAGTACATCAACACAGGAACTGTGACAACAGGGGCTGTTATAGTTGTAATGTTCAATATTCAGTGGAGGGCATTTATTAGAAAAAGGGCGCTTACTGTAAGGAGGCCATTAAATTGAATCACTTCGGTACCCAAGACACTGGGATGTGCAACTATTTGTCAACAACCTTGAGAAGCCAAACCTGTGCGATTTTTATCACAACGTCTGCATACCTTGGATATTTTAATACTTTTAGTCCGTTAGAAATTCCTTATTCATTTTAATTATATTGTGTCGGACCCGTTGTTGTTTGTTTTGTCTCATTTCTCTGCAGTATTTGTGGTTGACACTGGCAAACAGTGCTTTATTTGGGTAGGAAGGGGTGCTAGTATTGATGAAAGGCGCAAATCTATGGAATACGCTCATGTAAGTAGGTCTAGATATCTATGAATCTAATAAACGGCACGCAATGCATGCAGAAGCGATGACGTTTAAAAATTGTTCCTAGAAGATTGGAACATAA